AACAGGGAAAATATTTCACCGACACAGCAAAGAGTGAAAAGAAAATGGGTAATTAAGAATGGAGAGAAGATCCCAAGGGTCTTAGAGGCTTTGCAAGTGTACAGTTTCAGTGATTCCAAGATTTCTACCATAATAAATTTGTACAGTATTCCTGTTGCCTTTAAGCCAATACTTCCATTTGTAGAGGAAAGAAAGGTTTGGCTCTTACATGTCCCAGAATCCCCACCTTTTCCCCAGTCAATCCAGTATACATTCATTGAACCTCCCTATCCAGTATTCACAATGGAAGGTGTTAACCACCTCTTCATCACAGATTCAGTTTTCTAACTTTTGAAATATTTTCTTTTTCCAAATAAAGGAGGAAAAGGAATATAAAAAACAAACGGCGGTCCAGAACAAATTACCAGAAACGTATAGGTCACTGGGTCATCTCCCCCCGCTGCATTTACCTATGTTTGCATTAAAAATATATAAAATCCAGATAAGCTAAGTTTGACAGTTTAATTTCAGAAAACATCTGATGAAGAGCAGAATGGGAGTAATGCAGTGATCGTCTCAGCAGCCTTCAACACCATCAACCATAGTGTCCTTTTGAACTGACTAGGGGATCTGGGGCTGGACAGCACAGTCTTGTGCTGGTTTGACTCCTTTCTCCAAGGTTGGTCTCAATTGGTATTGAGAGATCCAGCCCACAGCTGCTCCTTTGCTATGCCACAGGGCATGGTACTCTTTACTCCTTTTTAGTATCTACATGAAGCCTCCGAGTAAGATCATCCATCACCATGGGTAGGAATGATACTCAACTTTATGAGGGTGAAGGTTCATTCTCTGAGCTTGTGGGTTGGCTTCTGAAAGTTTCATTACCAGGCTAAGTAACATCTCCACTGAAGATGTTACCTAGCCTGGTAACAAAACATTCGGAAACCAACCCACAAGCTCGGAGAATGAACCTTCACCCTCATCCTACACCCAAGCTACAGATGTTCACCACTATTGCAACGCAACTTTATATCTCCATTTCCAAATGATGCTGTTGTTGCTCTCTTGCAGTGCTTGGAGGCTGTGGGGGTTTGGATGGGAGACAAGATTTAGCTGAACTCCAGCAAGACCGAATGGCTTTGGATACACGGAGCTTCTGACACTCCAATATCCTTAGCTCTGGATAAGGTAGAACTACCCCAGACAGACCCAGTCCACAATTTGGGGATTCTCTTGGACCTGTGACTACTGTTTGAAGAGCAGAAGGCAGTTGTGGCTAGGAGAGCCTTTGCACAACTTCGTGTTGTGCACCAGTTGCGGCATTTCCTGGATCAAGAGACCCTGTGTTCAGTCATCCAAGTCCTAGTCATCTCATGCTTGGACTACTGCAATGCACTCTACGTGGGGCACCCTTGAAGAGCATTCGAAAGCTTGAACTGGTGTAGAGTGGGCTCCATTCAGAAAAAGAGACTAAAAAAAGTCATTAAAGGGCCAATCACCAAGTTTATTATTTCAATAAACAAATTCTCCCAAGTATCTTACTGCATTAAACAGTAAGAACAGATTGATGTTAGATGTATTAAATGACAAATCAGTCTTGCACTTTTCATCACCTCCTTCCAGATATTTTTGCATTTAGTTCCCTTCATTTTTGACAAATAAATGGTCATATTGTCTGGGAATCTGATTTAAAGGTTCAGCCTAAAATATTGACAGGTCTTTGGTTGGGTAACGCTGGTCAAAACTACATATATAAATAGAGTTTAAGCCAAGATTTGAAAACACCATGGTCTATTCCACTTTGCAGCTTGAAGAAGAAATAAATCAGGACTAATTTTCACTTTGTCCCCAAAACAGGATTGAAGAAACTCTGGTTTATTATTAAGCACTAACTGTAAAACCTTGGATTGTTAGATGAACTTGAAAATATGCTCAAGCCTGACACTTGTCAGTTATATCCACATACACAAGCTATTGCTTATTGTTCCGTATGAAGTCTATAATGCATGCTCTTCTCATTTACTTTTTCTAAAAAGAGAGATAACTGTGTACATCAGTTATAATTACCCCCCCCTTCCTCAATATATAGCAGGAAAGAGCTGTATGAAGGGATGATTAAGTTGACAGGAAATGCATGTGGCTCTTGGCCCAACTTTCAAAAGAGCTTTACTTGATAATCTATCACAGTTTCTGTAGGTACATAGTCAAGCAGATTTATCTCCTAATGCTCAGAGCAGAAACAACATCATCAGTAAAAAGTACATATCATAGAGATAGGCATTGCACTCTACTATCTCTAAAAAACACATTTTAGATGAAATATCAACATAGGTTCAACTTATTTCAGGTACACATAGGAAATTAACTGCAATAGTCATGAATAATGGGAAGAACTAAGTAAAAAGGACAACAGCATGAGCAAATAACTTGATGGTAGCGCATACATTTTTCATTAATATTGTCAAACTTCAACAGGACAATAACAAAGAAATGCAATATACTCCTTTCCCAGACTGGTATCCTCCAGGTACTTGGGATTACAACTCTTCTCAGAATACCTAGAAGTCAAGGATGAAGTATACTGCAGATTATCTGACAAGAACTTGGTTGAGAAAGGCATTATGGAACACATACCATTTTTCGATGCTGGCTGGATCTTGCTTTCCCTCACCAAATACCATTTGCATATAGTCAAAATTTCAAAGTACATATGAATAAATTACTTTATCATAGAATGTGTGCATCTATCTGTACATACTCTCTATATACATATACACACAAGGACAATTCGAATTTATTTATACAAAATATGGTCAACGGCCATCCAACGCTTTGTCACGTGCTATAACCGACTCATCAAATTTAATCATGAGTGTGGTCCCTTTGTGCCAATGGGCTGTGACTTTAGCAGGGAAGCCACTGCAAGTGAGCATGGCCTCCACAATGCCAGCAGTGAAGGAAGCACAGTTGAGGGTGCTGTTCTCCTTGGGAACTGAAATATAAGTATTGATAAGAGGCTCTTTCTCAATGATGTAGTAGGTCTTGTCATCATCGTTGGCTTGCTCAAGCTTGTCAGCTTCCTTCCCAAAGAGAGCCTTCCAAACCGTCACCTTGATGAAGAGCAGGATATTGATAACCTTAGTTTCACGTTTGCCATTTTTCTCTCGCATCACCAGCACATCCAGGATACGAGCTCCCACCTGCTGGCCTAGTTCAGAAAGTTTGTTCTGAAGCTCAGAAACAGAATAGACCCTGTTCTGGCAGTACTGTACAATCTCGGAAAACAGCAGAGAAAAGGCACTGAGGCTTACATCTGTCTTGGGTCGGGTGAGAGAACGTTCAAGGATAGCAGACTTCCCACGGGTAAAACGTGCATCCATAGTGCTACTGAGAAAAAAGTTATTGAGGCAATAAGCACACGGCTACAATATATGGTGTTGTTTAATTTAGAAACAGAGAAACATGTGGGTAGGGGAGAGAAAAAATAACAATCGTTTTCAGAGATTCAGCAATATCTATGGAAATATTGTCCTCCACCTTTGATACCAGAGATCACCATAGAAATTGATTAAAATTTATGATTGGGAGATTCAGACTGGGAAGCTAACATTATATACCTGCATTATGTAATATTTACAGATATGAAACAGTCATTCGTACATTTGTTTTATTATATATATATATGCAAGTGTGTGTATAAGTATATGCTATATGTATAAAATTTAATTTAAATGATGTGGTTGTATTTATATTATATATACAGGTAGTCCTTGACTTACATTTGTTTCTTGACTGAAATTTCAATGGCAATGAAAAAAAGTGACTTATGACCGTTTTTCACACAACCGTTACACAATTCTCTAGACACATGATCAAAATTTGGGGTCTCATAATCACCATCTGTAAACTTCCCAGGCAGCTTCCAACAAGAACAGTCAATGGGGGAAGCCAGATTCACTTAACAACTGCATGATTCACTTAAGAACTAGTGATTCACTTAACAACTGTGGCAAAAAAAGGTTGTAAAATGGAGCAAAACTCACTAAAAGTAAGCAAAACTCATTTAACAACTGCTTAGCTTAGCCACAGAAATTTGGGCTCTACTGTGATGATAGGTTGAGAACTATTTTATTGCATATCCATATCTGTACTATATATGTATATGCATATGTATATATAAAAATAACCACATCATTTAAATTAAACGACAGTTAGATGATAGATAAGATAGATTGATAGATGATAGATAGATCGATACATAGATATCGATATCTATCTATAGATATAGATAGATAAAAACAAATCTATGAATGACTGTTATTTATGATTAACATAGAACATTCTGATTCAGATGAAAATGAAAACAGCAACAGAACATTATAAACTTCATTACATTATGTTGACTTTTCCTAATCTTCTAATTGGCCAAAGTGAAACCATTCTGGGTGACAGGACGATTTTACACGTTTTTACTGTTAACAACATAATTATAAATCAGAAGCACAGGCTTACACAGCTACCCCCATTTCAGGGAGAATTTCCTTTAAACTACACGGGTGAAAACGTCCCCAAATTGTTTTGCTTTCTATGATGGATTTAAGGATCATTAACGTGCCCCCCACCCCCCGCGCAACCTCAGATCGCACAAGATTTGTTAGGGAGAAGCCCCGTCAGCCATATCCGATGTTCAAACTTACTTAATATAACATAAGCCAGGCAGAAATGCCAGACACCCAGCTGCCCCTGGAGTGAGACCTCCCTCCAAATTAGAGCACTGGGGCAACACGACCATGACAGGAAGGGGAGGGGGAGGGGTTACATCGTTTCTCTTGCAAACCAACCCCCCCCCCCCCCCCCACAACCCTCCATCTCTCACCCAAAGAACGAGATTAACCGTCGACTGCGGCTCCTTTTCCCTTCCGGCAGCCCGCGACTCCTTTCCGGCCACTGGCAGAAGGACCGGAAAGAACAAGCGCACAGCGGAAGCGCCTGGAACCCGAAGGCGTCGCTATGGCAACCGGGTCCGCGGCCCAGCCGGTTTCCCGTAGCGCTCCCCAAACTAGCCTGCAAAAACAATGGGCGGGCGCTAGATGGCGGTAAAGAGACGCGGAACTGTCTCGAGCAGAGAGGGGAATCACAAACTCGAAGCAACGGGAGGGAAACGGGGGGGTGTTGATCGGTGTAAAATATCAATACAGTAAACGAATATAAAACCATTTTATTTCATACAACAGCCGAATGCTGCAAAATGATATGCTCAGCACGTTACAATTTGTCATAATTGAAATGGCTGCTAGAGCAAATACTGGTGAGTTCAAAAGAGAGGTTTTATATGCATAGCATAAGGAGATAAATCCTGACTTGAACTGTGTAGTAAAATTACACAATTAATTTTGCTTTGCGCATTGGGAAATTCAAAACACCTCAGCAGTCACTTTCCCAATGGGAAACCATTTTATGGGAGTATCTATGACAGTGTCAAATGCAGATGAGTTTATTGTCCCCAAATATTTTGAAATCCTTTTTTCATGTTTCTTAGATCTGTGGTTCTCTACTTTTTCCTTTCTCTTAATAACCTGCCTTCCTTTGAAACAAATCTACTTTATCTGGATTTACCAGACCATTCACCACATTTTACCCCATAAAGCTGCCATTTCCTTCCTTGCTAGCTCTCACTCAATGAAGGGACTGAGTGAACAGCTAAAAAGTCCCAGTATGGAAGTGTTTGTGTTTGTTTGTATGGTATCTAAACTACAGGAGGAACGTCTTGGAGTTTTGCAACACAGAAGCATTGTCATCCTCTTAAAACAAAACACTGATTGTCTTTGGGGAAGTAACTGGATCTCATTTTGGAAGAAATTTCTGGAGCCCTGAAATACCAGAGGAGTAGAACACATGGAAGACCAGATGAAAGGTAGGAACAAGACTACTACTGATGAGATGAGATGGGATAGATAAGATAACCTTTATTGTCACTTTTTTCTGTGAACACAACAATGGCATACACACACATACATATAATACACACACACACACACACACACACACACTAATTGCAGACCATTTAGAATACATAATAATTATGAAAGCTATCTTTTTCTATGGCAACTTGATCCTGTTTGTGGTATTGGATTAAACTCTTCAATCAGAGCAACAGCTTTTAAATATGAGACAGATCTCAAAGAAGAACATAATGATTATGGGAATCTCTCAGCAACAAGACTGCCTCACAAGGCCAACACACATGCTTTGTCTACATAAAATTCCTATGTATCATCCCCAATTAAGACCTGAGGCAGTTCAAAATCATCTTTAACTTTTCCAGTTTTGAAAAAAAGTGTCTTTTTGCATGATGTAATTGTGCCATAAGTATGATCTGGCACATATTACTGACCACATTTGTTTTTGTGGTCAAGGTTAGGGAACCGCTTATCTACCACTAGCCACTTCAGGCCACTCTGACATTCTATAACACTTTTCAGACCTTATGTGGTTTCCTGAAAACACACACAGATTGACATAAACCTGGACAGAGCAGTGGTTTTCTACTTCTGTCACCAATGACTGCATTACAAATTTTCTCTTCTACTGAAGTTCAAACTGGATTTAGCATTTTTATCCACCTATCGAGTCCTTCCCAAGGACCTGGGATAGGCAGATGTGGATGTTTGATAGTGTTAGAGGAATCGTCGCAGAATGTAAGCTGTTCCAAGTAAAGCTGTCTTTTGCAATTGATTGATGGTGAATTTGTCAGTGCCGATGGTGTTCAAATGGTGCTTCAATTGTTGAGGGGGTTGCACCTGAGGTGCCTATTACTATTGCTTTCTTTTACCATAGTTGTTCTATTTCTATTTGCAGGTCTTTGTATTTTGTTATCTTCTCCATTTCTTTCTCTTTTATTCTGCTATTTCCAGGTACTGACACATTCACTATCCAGGTTTTTTGTCTTTCTTATCTTAATTGTTAAGTCTGGCATGTTATATGGCAGGTACTTGTCTGTTTGAATGTTCCATGTCCCAGAATGTTTTATTATTATTTTATTTCTTCTGAGGACTTGCACAAGAGCAGGGAAACACTCCTGGGGGAAGTATTGGGAACCAATAAAGGAGAATATTTGTAGCTCAGGGTTGAAATGAGGAGTCCTTAGTGTTCTTTGAGCTTGCTTGTTTTCTTGCAAACATTTTATTATTTAAACTAGGTAACATCATCAGTGCTACTGACATCACTAGTGTCTGCATTTCCCATAGCTGTTTTACAGCACAACAAAATTACTTATATTCTAGACTGGATGGGAGACAACAGGTGCCATCCCACACCATTCTGGCTGTGGTAGCACCATGAGCCACCATGACAATTGTGAATCTGAAACTCTTCACTAGCACAGAACTAGATTCCTTGAACTTGTAGCACTAGTCAGGAGTAGAACTAACATGATTATTTGCTCACTTCTGTTTCTCTTTGTGCTCCCATCTATACCTTGGACCTTTTGGTCTTGGACCCTTATCAAGAGTGATGCCAACCAGAACTTCACCCACATCACCATACATCCTTCCTCCATGCCTATAATCTGTCAGCTAGGCTACTCATCAAAACAATGGTGGTGCAATAAAGGGGTAAAAAGGACCTATCTTAGTGCCAAGTTTTGTGAGTAGTAATAGTAGTTAAGGTATAGTAGTTAAGAAACTAGGCTAAAAAGTGGGAGATCATGAATTCTACTCCTACTTTGGGCACGATGCTAGATTGACCTTGGCCTAGTCTCTCTCTCACTCCCCAAGAAAGAGGCAATGGCAAAAGAGGCATTTCTGAAATCTTGCTAAGAAAACTTCAGGGAGTTCTCTAAGTGGTCACCAGAGTCATCACTGACTCAACCCTCCCCCCAACAATAATCTACTGCCAAAGAGGAGAGAATGTGGGAAGGAGGGGGGGACAAGACATAAAGACATCCAAATATCTGGGAAAATAGGAAAGGCATGAAGCGAGAACAGTCCCTAGTTTGGACTGAGGATCAAGCTGACCCTGTTATCAGTCCACTTCCTATGGAATCTTTAAAGTCATCTTCAGGAATATCCAGGGCTACAGTAGATCTTTGCAGTGCATTGTATACGTATACATCAGGGAATTCTTTGCACACAGGGGGAACAATATTGTGCTCAAAATACAGAATTCCAAAAAACAGTTGTACACTGCCATTGCATCATACTCTTTAGAACAGAATGGTGGCAGACAAGAGTAAGAGAGAGACTCAAATTAATGTCAAATCTGGTGTGAGTTAAGAAACCAGGATTGAAAGTAGGAGACTGTGAGTTCTACTCCTTTCTTGGGCCTGAGACAGCCATTAAGCTGCTCTCTTTGACTTACCCGTTACTTTCCCCGACTTCACCTCCAACATAATATGTGGCTGAAGCCTTTTTACACATATATACACATATCCCTCAAGGAATATTTCTTCCTCCTCTGAGTTGGGCTAGTTTTTCATGCATAAGGCAAGAACTACAACATAGTGTCCTGGTTTCTAGACCCACACCTTAACCTCTATGCCAGGGGTGTCAAACTCACATTGTCACAGCAGCATCATGTGGCGTATCAGGAGTTTTTTCCCCTTCGCTAAACCGGGTGTGGGCGTGGCCAGCACGTGGCCTGAGGACTGGGAGTTTGACAGCCCTGCTCTACACCAAACTACACCAAGCTTATCTTATATAGCAACTTATGCAGTCATGAGGGTTTTAAAAAAAGAAGAGCAATACTTAACAATGTTTCTTTCTCTAGTCTTTGGAAGCAACCTTGACGATTCTGAAAGAAATTATCAGAATGTTGTTCCTCCAAACAGAACAAGAGCAATGAAAGCAAAGTCAGGTATGAAATTTTTAAAAACACAAAAGCATCTAGGGATTGAAATTTAAAATCATGGGGTTTTTTTGCTAGTTTGGGAAAGATTAAAAAGTCTCAATGGGCAGAGGGGGAAATACTTATGATTTCAATTATCCCCCCACATGCCCTATTCATGCCTATTTAAACAATTGCTATAATATTAATAGTGCTACCAGAAGAATGAGATGATGATCTTATGAATACTTGATTGTGAAATTGTTGGCAGTCTTCTAGTTTTGTTTTGTTTTTAATTTTATCCCGAAGCATTTTGGAATCTAGGTGGCTCTGTGGAATAAATTGTAAACCAGAACTCCTGGTTGCCTTTTTCAACCCCTGTGTCCTCCCAGAAGAGCAAGTTTAAAAAGTATAAAAGTTGATGACATTTGACCCAAGATAACATTATTTTGACCCATTATTTTGTCCTCTTCTCAGGGGTGGGGGTTTTGCTCTTTTCAATATTCTCACTTTGTACATATGCCTCCATCTGCTTATATACCTTTGCTCTGCTTTCAACTACCAGCTATCTCAAAATATACTAATCAGTTTGCCTTCTATTGGTTATTTACAGGGGAGCCTTCATTTGTGCGGATTGCCAGTCATAAGAGTTGCATCTCTTCGAGAACATCTAAGATCATTCTTTACATCTTGGTGTGTGTATCCCTGTTGATGGCAACAGCTGCTTTTCTGCTCGCTTTTTTGAAATGTATGTTCAACATTTCAACTGCTTCCTCATCTGATGTGCTGATTCATGCTAGTTGTCATTATCAAACTATGCTACGAGATAACTCATTTATGGGCAATAAAAAGTCATTTAAAAATACAGCTATAATGAAATAGTTTCCCACAAAACATGATGTTCACTATCCTACTTTCATTTCCTTCTAATCAGCCAACTTTGTAGGTGACTCATGCTATTGCATTTCTCTTGTATGGTTGATGATTGGTTCATTCAGTCATCCAGATGCAGAGATAGAGGAGAATTATGTGCTCTCAGCAATCCCAGAATGATTCCTACATAAAGCAGAAAGTGGGGATCTCCTGGTGAGAAAAGTTCTCAGTGTTACTCTGAAAATGATAAAATCTCTGGCCCTGTAGAAATGGAGAATGTCTTCAGAAATATACATGCCTCAGCTATCCAGAGATTGGAAAAATTATACTTACTGGTTTACCATGTTAAAGCTGTAATAAGTGGAGGGGTTGGAGGAAAGTCATAGAAACAGAAAATCAATGGCAGAAAAAGACCCAATGCTCCATTGACTCTGCCCTTTGAGGTTCTTTTGTTGTTGTTGTTTTTAATTTATTTTTATAAGTCCCAGGAAGGATTATAGCAGATGTTTTGTATTTGTACTTATATAGTTGGTATAGTAGTATGGAAGTACAGAATCCTTGCAATACCTTCTTACTTACTGGCTCTCTGTGTCCTGCAGTTCTCCCTCAGTGTCCAAAAGGCTGGCTGAAGTTCCAGACAAATTGCTATTACTTGTCTGCTGATCAACAACCTTGGGAGAAAGCAATGAGTAACTGCCAAAGCCTCAATGCTCACCTGGTAGTGATTGATGATAAAAATGACATAGATAAACAGGTGAGCCATTCCTTATGAGACAGGTTGTCTTGCACTCTAAAGTTTTTTCCTGCAACTATTCCTCATTCATCCCTATTCTTACAAGGGGTAAGGCTCAATACAGTACAAACATTTGCGATTGCCTACAGTTCAAATTTTCTTCTGCCATCTGTTTCCTAAAGATTAAGTGTGTGAAATAAATCTTAACATTTTAAGAGGAGAGTATATCTCCTGAACATTCTCTGTTTCATTAAAGATTTGAAACCTTAACAAAAAGAAGCCCCACTCTCTCCCTCTCCCCCCTCCCTCCCTCTCTTTTTGGTATAAAAAACACAAGCATTTTAGCTGACATGTACACAGACTTAAGAGACATTCCAGATGGAAGCTGCATTATTCCAGTGCATACTAAAAAAAATTATATTGGCATAACAATTACCTGTCTGATTGTTATTGCAAATTTATCCTCTGAACCTTCTGTTCTAGCTTGCTGCTAAATGGTGGTGTCCTGATTTATATTGTGAGAAGGACAAAAGTTAGTGCAGAGTTCCCTCTCTCTTCTTTGCACTAACACTCTCCCCCTCCCCCAATCACTGCTCTTCAGCTGCTATTCAGGATGGTCTAAATTACTAAGCTGAGTATTGGCTTGGAGACCTAGTGGGTACAAAGGAGAGTTGACTGTGAAATAAAACTGACTCCCCACCGCCTCAAGTAGAATGCCCCTGGACCTGTTACACTTGCCAAACTATCACAAAATGGCCAATAGATGCCAAACCAATTGCATCCCTAGGGGTTTCTTGACAGTGACATTGAACTGAATGTGAGATAGCTGATTGTAAAACTCCCAAGCCTATTGCTTGGGAGTTGCTTTAACACCAAAACAGATAAGGACAATTTCAAAGCACCCCAGATATGAGTTCAGGAGGAAAAAGAATTTGGCCACAGCATGTTCGAATTATACTTGAGTGTAACTGGGAAAAGATACGAAGATAATTGACCCCCCCTGTTAATCCCAGTCTGTCCTTTGAGGTATCTGTTGAAACTTGCTGCTGGATGGTGTTCTGGAAATCTTTGAATTTTCCTTTCAGTATAAATAATTGAGATTCATTCATTCACATCTCAGTCAGAGGTGGTATTCAGCAGGTTCTGACCAGTTCTGGAGAACCGGTAGCAGAAATTTTGAGTGGTTCGGAGAACCGGTAAATACTACTGGCCCCGCCCCCATCTATTCTCTACCTCTCGAGTCCCAGCTGATCGGGAGGAAATGGGGATTTTGCAGTAACCTTCCCCTGGAGTGGGGTGGGAATGGAGATTTTACAGTATCCTTCCCCTGCCATGCCCACCAAGCCATGCCCACCAAGCCATGTCACGCCCACCAAGTCACGCCCACAGAACCAGTAGTAAAATATTTTGAATCCCACCACTGATCTCAGTGTATGTATTTTTAAAAAAAGAATGTTCAGGTGCAGCTTTTACTAATGTCTTGGATTGTTTTAAGAGAAGTGAAATTCAATAAAAGTACTATAAATCTGCTGCAATCCTAGTTTGGGTGAATGCCACCAGTATCCTTAACCCCGATTCAGTGAATTGGGTCTCAGTCATAGCTCCAGACATTAATATAATCCCTTTTTATTTAATTGCCCCCCAGGAATTTCTAGACCATCTAAAAAATTCTAGCTATTGGATTGGCCTCAGGAGGTACCCTAAAGACAAGTGGATGTGGATAAATGGCAAATCCTTTTCAGAGACGTAAGTAAAAGTTACTGATGATGGCTCTTCCTCTAATTGCTCATTTCATGGAAAGTCTTTTAGGAGAGAAAAGGAGAGAAGGAACCTCTAGGAAAGTAGCCACATCTGGATGGGATTGAAATAGATCTTTGAAAACATTTAAAGATATTTTCTGATTATTTTGACACCTTTATATCATGAGTATGTAGAGTAGTTCAAAACCTCTTATTTACAAGGACAAACTGTCACTTGCCATGTTCATTTAATCTGCTCAAAAGAAAGGAGATTGCTTCATGGAGATCTGTCCATGGAGGAGTCTATTGTAGGCTGCTGATCAAGGTTTCCCTTCTTCCATTATAGAAAGTCTGGATAGGAGAGGAAAAATTACAGCTATGAGCAACACTGAGGAGGAAATGTATCTCTTAGTGGCATCTCTTCCATAAAAGTCAAGATTACATTCCTAACTAGAGATGCTACCAAGAAAAGTTAACAACCATATTTACCTAACTATTGAGTAAAATCCTTAATGAAAGAATATCCTAATTCATCTAACATGAGGACTTGCCTATTGGTAGGTTCACTGACACATAGAGCTGAGTGAGGAAAGGTTGATGGGCAATCTGGCATTCTATTCATGGCTGCCTTCCCAGGTTGAGTGGTGGGTGGTATACTGGGAAGAAGGTGCCGGGGGAAAAATTGGCAAACAGCCAGCTAGATACTCCAGTCGGGACAGATCTTTGTAGAAAGATCAGACACTTTTTTCCATTTTATTCCAAATCTCAGATGTTATTTTGTAACTGCCTTCGAACACAGTTGCATAGTTAACCTTTCCACAGTGGATTGCAAAGTGCTGTTGGAGTTTTCACAATTGCTATCCCTGTTAGAAAAAAATTGCCTGAGTGTTGGATTGTGGCTTTGTCACGTTTTTCCAGCTGCTATAGGTTTTACATTTTTGTATATGTTTTTAGTATTTTTAATATTATGTACTACCCAGAGTCAACATGCGTGAGATGTACAATCATGTAAATCCTCTGAATAAATAAATATAGTTTGGTTCCTCTCAACATCTTTACTTAATTCTTCTTCCTGCCTGGAGAGATTGGTGAGGGAGGAAAATGAATGAAATAAAAAACAAATGAAACTATTGTATATACTGAGATATTGCAGAGACTAAATAGTGATATTTAACTATCATTCAAATTATCACTTTAATTTTGGTTCCAATAGATTGTAAGAAAAAGCTTTATCCTAACAGTGCTAAAGAACCTTAGGTAGAAAGTCATTCTGAATTTATTTATTCTTAACTGACACTGTAGGAAAGATCTTCATTTTCTAATAATTAACGCTTGTCATTCTTTCTTAACAGGACTCAATCCATTGAAAATAATGAAAAAGAAAACTGTATATATAATTTCTGGAAAGATTCTAAAAGTAGGAAAAAGAAAACTGCTTGTACAGAATATTTTTCTTATATCTGTGAAAAAGAACAACTATAAAAATATGCAGTTTTATAAAGTTTACATTTTCTTCTTTGAAAAATCATGTACTTCATTGTTCAATGGATTTTATATAATTTCTTATGGAGTTACAATTTTTCAAATGCTGCAATAATCAGAGTAAGACATTCCAATTAGAAGATGCTGCTGCCTAACAAATACAATTTCCCTTTTCTTGGTTTTTTTTTTTATTATTATATTGAAACAAGGCAAGGGTAAAAATATGATAAGGTGGAACATATTTAAAAAATTTTAAAGCAGTATTGTAATTTTAAACAAGAAGAAACATCATATTCAATGATGATATCCAATCATTCTAACTTGAAAAACACTTGCATAGATAAAGTTGATACGTGACTTAAAATGTTAATGTAGCCAACAAGGAATTTTTAATAAAACTATCTGTAACTCTAGAGGTTTTCAAGTGTTTTTTTTTTATATACATATATATAATTTTTTTAGCAACTGGTTAACCATAATAAAGTTATTTATTATAGAAGATCCCCTAGAAACAGGAACCATATTATTATGGGAAATAGAAGAATTTGGCAAGGTAGCAGGGCTCAAAATAAATAAAGATAAAACTAAAATATTAACTAAGAATCTTACTAGCAGGCAAAATGAGGAATTGGAAGAGAAATTGGGGATCCAAACTGCTAAGAAAGTGAAATATTTGGGAATTTGGTTAACGGCAAAATGCTTGTCAATAAAAGAGGACAATTATAACAAAGAGCCTGAGTGGCGCAGCAGACTAATGCTACTGTTAAGGGTAGCATTTAGCTTCCAGCTGCCTGCAAGTACTGCGAGTTCAATTCTCACCAGGCTCAAGGTTGACTCAGCCTTCCATCCTTTCTGAGGTAGGTCAAATGAGGACCCGGTTTGTGGGGGCAATAAGCTGACTTTGTATAAAATATACAAAAGTATGAAGGCTATTGCTTAACGCATTGTAAGCCGCCCTGAGTCTCCGGAGAAGGGCGGCAAATAAATAAATAAATAAATTCAACAACTATAAAAAGATTTGGATGAATGGGCGAAATTACAAATTTCTTTTAATTGGCAGAATTGCTACAATAAAAATGAATATATTACCTAAATTTTTGTATCTCTTCCAAACGGTACCAATAAAATTAGGGAAATTTTTTTTGAACAGTTAAATAAAATAATAACAAAATTTATTTGGTTGGGGAAAAAAGCCCGAATAAAACTCAAGATTCTACAAGATTCCAGAAATAAAGGGGGTTTTGGCCTCCCAGATTGGGAACTTTATTATCATGTAGCAACCGTGACGTGGCTTAAAGATTGGATTCAATTGAACAATAAAAGGGTGTTAATATTAGAGGGCCACAGTCTCCAACTCGGCTGGTATGCATTCCTCTGGGAGGAGAAAAACAAAGCCCATGTGTATTTTCAGAGACACTTAGTGAGGAATGCCTTGATAAGCATCTAGGAAAGAATTAGGAAAAATCATTATATGAAAATTCCAATTTGGATATCAACAGTGAAGGCAATGGTCTATCCAAACATATTAGATCTAAACAAGGTGGTGAGATACATAGATTTATTGGATGAACAAGGAGAATTAAAATCTGATCAGGAACTAAGGAACTAAGGAATCAAGGAATAAAGATTGATTGGTGGCCCTACCTTCAAATTAGGACAAGGTATAAAAAATATTTGGAACAGTATGGCATCTATGGAAAACAATTGGAATTGGATAAAATACTGCTAGGGACAGGGGAAAAATGATTACAAAAGCATACAATTTCTTCCTAAGATTTAAAATTTAAAATTTAAAAAAATTATACACTAACGATGTCAGTAGCCTACAAGGAGAGCCTCTATAAGATGTTTTGTATGTTTTTAATGTTTTCTTTTTTAAAAAAATTATGGGATATTGTTTGCATTGTTTTTTGCTGTAAGCTGCCCAGAGTCCCTAGGGAATTGGGCGGCATAGAAATGCGACTAATAAATAAATAAATAAATAAAATGTTTTATTGTTGGCATTTGCCCCAGTGAGATTGGCCAAAATGTTTCCAAACCGTTCACCTGAATGCTGGAGATGCAAATATAAACAGGGAACTTTCTACCACATGTGGTGGACTTGCCCTAAAGCTAGAAAGTATTGGCATAATATAAGGGAGTGATTGGAAGAAATTACTGAACAAAAGATTGATTTGAAGCCAGAGCTATTCTTACTGGGTATTTCAGATGGGAAAATGGCAAAGAAGCTCCAATATACCACACATATTAATGGCAACCAGAATTGTTTTCGCACAAAATTGGAAACAAACTAATATCCCTTCAGAGGCAACGATAATAAGAAAGGTATATGAATGTGCAGAGATGGCTAGGTTGACGATGGAATTGAAAGAGAGAAGACTCAGAGTAATCCCAAGTCTGGAGTAGATGGTATATATGGCTAGAGAACAGGAGTAAAACTAGTGGATAAGAACTAAATAATATTGATGATAACAGGATTGTATTGTATCTATGTGTAAATACTACTACAATTCAATCGACTGTATAATATAGGATAATGAACCATAGAAATAAAATTTATGTAAATTTGAATGTTATGAATGATATTGACACCAATATGGAAATGCTGTAAGAAGTGAAAATTTGTGTTTTGTTTTTTAATGTTGAAAAAATTTAATAAAAAATTATTTTAAAAAAATAAAATAAAATTTTGTTTTGAATTTTTCATCAAAAAACTTGCTTTTCTCAAAGTTATCTGTACATTTATGAATATAATAGCTTGATAATTGTGTGATACTTGCTTGAAACATCACGCTTGTGGCAGATTTTGTAGACCAAACAACTATGCATAGTGTTCTTGTATGCAAAGAATTGGGAACATATCCTAAAATAGGAGAACAAGTTTCCGTAGTTCAGGTGTTTTGGCAGAAATATTTGTTGCCTTAATAGTATTCCTGATGGCATGCTATTGTAATTGCTTCCCTGTTGTTCAGTTCAAAACATTGTTCCAATAATATTTTGCCAAAGTGGGTTGAGGATAACATAACAGCATAGAAAATATAGGATTTTTAGTCCATACTCATGAGAAAGAATTTCTACAAATACTTAATCATGGGAACAAAATAGACTCATGTGAATTTATACTTGAAATTTCATTCTCAGAGCTACCTATATTCTCATAACAAATTGATAATAATGAGGAAATGCAAGGAGTTGCTAGGAATTTAGAAATAGAAGCTACTACATTTGAAAGCCATATTTCTAGCTCTTGAATTTGTCACCAGTGGAAGTAATCTTTTGGAAGATGAAAGTTACCCTATAATTTCATGCCATTGACCCTAGAGTGTATCCATTCTTCCCCACAACACTTTTCAGTCTGTCTGCCTTGATCTGCACCAATTTCATAAACATACCAATCGTGTTAGATCTAGTATTCTTAGGTCAATTTACAATATGTAATCAGTAAGTCAGCAACAGAAGTTGCTTACTTATTCAAGCACTGCTAGAACAGCACAACAATATAAAATGTGTATCATGCAATAGGAAAATGGACTTCAGTTGAATGCTAGGTGGGAAAAATCAACCTAGACCCCAACAGTCTCCCAATTCTAGGATAAGACTTTAATCGCAGTGCAGATTGTGCAATGGATTTCCCCCAGCGGCTTCATGTAAACATTGAAAAATGGTGACAGAGAACTGAGTGCTGTGATTTATAATGAAGACACAGCCACAGGCCAATCTTTCCTCCTTCACAATCCTCAACTAAAACTGCCCAAAGAACAGAACCACTGAATGTGGGAATTCTTGAAGGGGGGGAAAAAAGGATGGTTTTCGACATTTCAATCTTATCTCTGCTTACCGGTAGTAAATGCAAGTAGAACCCACCCCTGGTCCAAGCAGAGCATTTTGAATATGAGGTTAAAGGCCCATTGTTTGCTATATACAGACTCCTAATTTGCTCCACTTTACGAGCATTTGTTTATTTAACTGTATTTATAATTTGCCCCAGTTCCAAAGGATTTTTTGTCAGTTTGGTGTAGTGGAGAAAGTGCTGGCCTAAAAATTGATAGACTGTGAGCTCCTGTGGCATGAAAGCTGGCTGGCTGAACTTTCTTAGCCCCCCCCCCCCCCCCCCGCAGGGTTACTATGGGGAAAATAGGAGGAAAAAGGAGTATTAAGATATATTTGCTGCCTTGAGTTACATATGAAGTAATAAAGGAAGGTTTTGAAACAATAAAACTCTGCATAAGAATTGGAAAAATAAAAAGAAATGAAAAAAATCCAATTCCAAACTCTCAGTCAATCATCTGGAGTCAAAAGCTCAGTAAAATAAAATAAGTCACATAGTTTTGAAATATCAACAAAATGGGAACTGCAGATAGACTCGCTATCTTATCTTCTTGGCAACCAATGTAGTGTCTTTAATATAAATGTTATTCTAAATTGAAAAGAGTTATCTTGCCACTGTGTTTTTGTGTCAGCTGCAGTTTCTGGGTTATCTTCTCATACAGCCTCACCTAAAATAAATTGTAGTAGGCCACTAGAACATTTTGCTCTGTCACAATGTTGAAATTTCAGGATGTTTCACATGCAGAATTCCAAAGACCAGGCTCATCTAGCTTAAGACTCAGTCAGAACCTGCTGAGTACCACCTCTGTATACAAATGTTGATCACATGACCCCAGGACAGTACAATTGTCATAAATACATGCCAATTGCCAAACTGGCATGTAAATTTTGATCACATGATCATGGAGATGCTGCAATGGTTGTAAGTGTGAAAACCAGTCATAAGTCACTTTTTTCAGTGGTGTTTTAAATTTGGTCACTGAGCAAATGGTTGTAACTTGAAGACTACCTGTAAAATTGCAGTCGTTTATTTCTTATCTGCTTATAACCAAGAGCAGAATAAAATAAAAATTGGAACAATAATGCAACTATCATAATATTAAAGTATAAGATCAGGAGCTTTTCAGCTAAAAGTCCATAACTTGTAATAATAATAATAATCTCTATGTATTTAAAAGTGACATAAGAATGCAATTATATAGGTATAGACTCACAGATAAAATGCATTTGTAGCCCTTTTTAGTAACCCTAAGTATAACTTTTTTGTTCTGGCTCTAGCTGGGTTCAACCCATGTTCTCTGTTTTTTTTTTTAATTATCTCTAAAAGGCATGAGCAGCGCATGTGTTTCAACAACACATACTGTTTTTCAGTTATCTGAAAATTAAAAGGGAAATGGAGGGGAAATAGAGAAGGAGAGAGAGAGAAAATTAAGAACAGTGAAATAACACAAGCAAGTAGCAAAACAACAAGGTGGAAAAGAGCTCTGGAAGGGAATTTCAGCTTGCAAAGCAGATTGGAAGGAATAATGAGTACACTAATAATAATCAGAAGACGAAAGAAAATTGTTCAACTGGGAAGTGAAAC